CCCCAAAACCCCAAAACCCCAAAACCCCGGGCGGTGAACGAGAGGTTGAACCAAATTACTATGTACAAATCATACTTTTTAGCAACTTACACCATGGCTTATCTCTCGAATCTAAAATCGTCTGAAAATGAAAAATACATTGGCCCACTCCTGAGTCTCCAGGCTTGCGATAGGCCTTCTTTTGATTAACTTATTCGCCCAGAGTCAGTATTTTGGAGCATTTGAATACTAAAACTAAGAAATATCTTAGCCCCATTTAGCCTTAGTAGTCTAAACCCTTCGAATTTTAAGTTACTAAGGCAGTCTAACAACACCTTGGATGCTGAAGAGCAATAGAGGCTTCTCTTAAAAGATTTTAGAACCGAAATCCTATTATTATTACTTCCGGCTTCCATAAGTTCTTGCTAATGTTGCCTGGTTTTCTAAATTGGAAGATTTCTGGCCATCTAATTGATTGAATTCGGCTAGATGTTCTCTAAACCTTGTTACTAGGCCAATTCTGACTGCAAACGCTTTTGAAAAATCTATCGATTAGGGATTTAGAACTATTGTAAAAACTCTTTAAATTCATTTAATCCTACAAAGCTAACATAACTGAGCAGATGGAGCTAGTGCATCCCTAATCTGACTAGACATGCTGAAACATACTTATAGCGTTAGCCTAGCCTGATATTTCAGTTGGTATACAGCTGCTGAAGTACCTCCATTTTCAAAGTGCTTTGGTTGTTTCAGAATTTTCATGCACAAGTTATTGAATTTTTGGGTGATAAGCTAAATGAGCATTAAACCGCGGTATATCTGGCTTCTTAGAAATTGTTAACACCTGAGCTCGGGGTGGCTAAATCCATATACGGTGCTCTTCATTTACAGCCCATTAGAAAAATTCAATGACGATTTAAAAGATTACTAGTATGCTTTTATCGGGTTTTCATAACACATATTTCATCGATTACCCTGACTGAATTTCAGCATATCAGTTGCAGCCAAACTACAGAAATAGAGCCACTAAGCCTGAATATGTCAGCTTTTATTGAATTTGATGCATATCCATAATATTTGAGTCATCGTGGATGGTTACCCATAGTACATAAATTTGTAGAACATCAGAACCTCAGAACGAACATCAGAAAACCAAACTACAAGTACACTGTTTTCCTGTGAGAAGTTAGCCTCAGAGTTAGGAGATAGTGCCAAAGAGAGTTTCTCTGATGTCTGAGTCTACAGCAATAGCTTTCACTTGCATAAGAGATTTTTAAGCAAAATCTTTTTGGAGTGTCAGCTGGTTTCCCACCGCGCTCTTATTTCATAAATTCTGTCAATATTAAGTTACTGGATTTATATTTCTCTTAAGAATTTTCTGAATAGAGAAAATCTTGACAAAGAAACTGAGGGCTAATAAACCTAGTCAGGACAAGTTAAGACTTGGATCTTTGTTATCTGATCGATGGAAGTGAATATCGATGCTAAAATAGAACTTTATAGTACCTTCGCATGCTACTCTGATATCATCATCTTAAAGCTTCAGACATTTTGAAGTAACTCTGACGCACTCTTTCAAAGAAGAAAGCCCTTTGGAATAGCTAAAGTCCTTTGCAAAGCTAAGGGAACAAGTACTTTCTCTTAAAAATAGTGTTTAATTCTAGATTTCCTGTTTTTAATTCAAATATGACTGAATGGCAATAAAGTAGGTTAATGGTGCAGCTAACTTTCACTCTATAAAAAGATCTTGAACGGACTGGCGCTTATATAATAAGCCCTTTCACTTCTGCTATGATTAGTGCAGACTATGAGGAATCTTAAGGAAGACCAAAAGAGGTGCACTTAAATCCCATAAAAATTTAAACTCGAAGAACTTTGTTTGAGTAAAGTTTATTAAAATTAGATTAGTGAATGCTTCCTGTTCTTCCTCTATTAAGCTGAACTTTGCTCAAACTCTTGCTTGATGACTCTAATGCGGGGATCATCCCATTTCTGGATCAGATGACTACACAGAACTCTGAAGTTTCGAGATTCGAGAAGAGCGCTGAATTTCTTCCTTGAAAATGCCTCACAACATGTATGGAACTTGGAAATTTCATCTTGAGTTTCTTTACTTCAATCAAGTCTTAATCCCCACTTGGGATTAACAACACCAATGGTGTAGTTCACAAGCTCTTCTGTGAGTTCTTCTTGGGGAAAGAACTCACAAAGTAGTGTTTTCATCTGGGATTGGACTTCTTGCATACCTCAGTTAATATACCTTTTTCTAACAATTTTAGTATTCTTAGACTTGAAGACATTTTTAAAGAATCTTTTGATAAGTCTCAGAGCTGCCTTGAACTCAACATCGCTTCTTCCTGAGGAGGATGCCTTAGTTCTTCTACGAGAAGAGCAACTAGAACCAGAGGCATACTGAGCATTGACTTGGTGGCAACTTATGTCCTCCTTATTCTCTTCAGAATTTTGGGCTGATTTAAATTCATTTCTCTGAGGATCTTCGCCTATTTTAGATATACATAAAATGTTGCAATCAGCTTCTAGCTTTCCAGCTTTGTGATCATGAAGATCATCTCCACCCACAGATGCCTTCGTTGAAATTGGCGGCTCTGGGTGCTTTGTAGTGGAAAATCAAGCCTGCCTTTCTTCAGAATCAAATAGACTGAAATCTTTAGTGAGTGCATCCTACAACAAGGTTAGATCAACTTTAAAAGTAAGAAAGGTTAATATCCTCCCCGGTATCCTTGGCAACTTAAGATATGTACCAGAGGTTCCAAGCATGGCATGTTAGCTTACCTGTGTGATACAGTTCGATGCTGCACCTTCAAAGACACTTCCTGGGAACAACACTTCTGTGTCTCTGGTGAAGAAGTAACCAGCTTCATCAGTATGAGCGAATTCAGTTTGGCTTTTAAGACTATTAATCATTAGATTTGTTAACTTAATTATTATACCTATCAATAAATACTATTACTCGGGGTTTTGGGGTTTTGGGGTTTTGGGGTTTTGGGG